AAAAAAGCAAGAGACTATTGCCTTTTATAAGCAACTCACCCTCCCCATCTCCCCTCATGTTCCAATGTGGGACAAAAACAAAAGACATTAGTTTGCCTTTGTCTTTCAAGTACTCTACAACTCCTCTACTTTGTCTGTGAAAAATAAGAGTTGAAGGCTTTAAAAATAAAAACAAAAGGTCATTGTCTTTTATAGGCAACTCAACTCTCCCCATCTTCCCTCATTTTTCAATGTGGGACAAAAATAAAAGACATTTGTTTGCCTTTACCTTTGAAGTGCTCTCCAACTCTTCTCCTTTGTCTTTGAACTACTACTTTACTTTTTTTTATTGATTTCGTTACTTCTTTTTTCTTGCTAATTTTTTAAAATAATTATTAATTTATTATTATATTAATTTTATTTAAACGAGTAAACATGTGATAAACGGTTTGACAGGTCTCACCCGAACACTACCCCGTTTATTAAACGTGTTTGGAGTGTCAACCTGTTTATCACCCAAACCCGTTTAATTCTTGTCGATTCGTGTCGGTTAATCGTGTCGTGTCGAATTTTGACAGCCCTAACTAAAATTACTAATTTATTCCTCTGAACCGCTATATGTGCTAAACGGCTATTCCAAGTATTTTGGATCTCCCAGATTCAATGATAATATTATTTTGACCTAAAAAAATTAATATTTTTACTTAGTTACCCTTATTAACCTTAAACACCTTCAAAAATTAAATTTCACAATTAATTTGTCTCCCTAGTATTTATTCCTACTATTACAATCTATAGGGTTTATGCATACCTCATCACCTATATTAGCATTTCAAAAATAATTACTTGTTATATAAAGATAAGAGTGTGGGGGTTTACTCGTTTATATAGATGCTTCATTACAGAGACTTAGGTGTGTGTTGATGCAACATGAGAATGTCATCACTTATGGTTCAAAGCAATTGAAGACCTATGAGCAAAATTATCTCATTTATGATTTGGAACTTGTCGTTGTTATATTTGCCCTCAAATTATGACATTGTTACTATATGGAGAACGGTTCAAGTATACTCCGACTACAAGAGTTTGAGGTACATATTCACACAAAAGGATCTGAATGTTTGCCAATGACGCTGGATGGAGTATCTAGAAGATTATGACTTTACCCTTAGCTATCATCTTGGGAAAGCCAATGTAGTTGCAAATGCTTTGAGTAGAAAGTCACGTGGTGAAATTAGTGGTATGTTGGCAAGTAAATGGAAGATGATGGATGCACTTGGAGACTATGATCTATGGGTTGTAGGAAATGGATCCCGACCATGCCTGTTTAACCTTGTGGCTCAACCTACCCTCCAACGTAGGGTTGTTGAGTTGCAATGTTTGGATCCTTACTTAGAGCCGATTCGAGCTCAATTGAAAAATGGGGGAGTAGTTGAAGGTTGGTTATTGAGAAATGGAGAACTGAGATATAGGAAAAAGATATGTGTACCAGATGATTCATCCCTAAAGGAGGAGATACTTAGAGAGTGTCATCGCTCTAAGTTTGCTATCCACCCCGGTGGCACAAAAATGTATAGAGACATGAAACATCAATATTATGGAAAGGAATGAAAAGGGATGTGGCAAGGTTCATAGCACGATGTGTAGTGTGTCAATAGGTTAAGGTGGAGCATTAAAAACCTAGAGGATTACTACAGTCCTTACTTATTCTAGAGTGGAAGTGGGATCACATCACCATGGATTTCGTGTCTAATTTTTCGCGGACTTCGCGAGGGCATAATTCCGTATGAGTCATTGTAAATAGACTCACCAAGTCCGCTCATTTCTTGAGTATGAAGACCACTGACACTTTAGAAATCTTGAACAAGCTTTATATTTGTGAGATTGTTAGATTACATGGAGTTCCACTCTCTATTATGTCAGACTGTGATTCTCGTTTTGTGGTGCAATTTTGGCAAAGTCTACAACTAGCTATGGGGATAGAGTTACACTTTAGCTCTGTTTTTCATCCTCAAACGGGATGGCCAATCTAAAAGGGTGATACAATTTTTGGAGGACATGTTACGAGCTTGTGTGTTGGACTTCAAGGAAAGTTGAGTGATCATCTGCCGTTGGTGAAATTTGCATATAACAATAGTTTTCAATCTAGCATTGGCATGACAACTTATGAAACCTTATATGGGAGACCTTGTAGATCGCCCTTGTGTTGGGCGGAAGTGGGGGAAAGTAGTTTATTTGGTCTGAAGATAGTGAGGGAAACAACTGAAAAAGTAAAATTAATTCAGGAATGACTATGCACAACTCAAAGCCAACAAAATAGTTATGTAGATAGGAGGAGGAGGAGGCCATTGGAATTTTAAAAGGGTGACTATGTCTTCTTGAAGATGTCACCTCAAAAAGGAGTATTTCGTTTTGAAAAAAAAGGGAAGTTGGCTCCAAGGTACATTGGGCTTTTTGAAATAGTGAAACGAGTAGTGATGGTGACATACAAGCTTGCTTTACCACCTTAACTTTCAGGAGTTCATGACGTGTTCTACGTTTTCATGCTACGAAAATGTGAGCCCAACACATCATATATTCTTGGTTGGCAAGACATCCAAATACAAAAGGACATGAGTTATAATGAAGCACCAATTCAAATTCTTGATAGGAGGGAATAAGTTATATGCAACAAATTTGTACCTCTTGTGAAGGTGTTATGACAACACCATGGCGTCGAAGAAGATACTTGGAAATTGGAGACCGATATGCAAGTGCGATATCCACATCTTTTCGACCTTGGAGGTTAGTAACAAGTTTCAGGGATGAAACTTGTTTTAACGGGGGTGGATTGTGAGATCCCGTGTGTTATGTAAATATAAATGATATTAATTTGCTAGTATTTTTAAAATAATTAAAATGATGAGAGAAACTTCGAATCGTTGTTAAAAGAATAGTCACATAAGTTGAAGTACAAACGTATTGACTTTTGGGTCAAATTTAATTTTTGGAGGTGTTTAAGATTGATAAGAATAACTAAGTAAATATATTAATGTTTTTGGGTTAAAATAATATTGCCATTGAATCCGGGAGGTCCAAAAAACTTGAAATAGACGTTTAGCTCATATAGCGGTTCGAATGGGTAAAATAGTAATTTTAGTGTTTCGGGTGTAAATGAACTTTAGTTTTGAGATAAATCATAAAAACAAATGTTTTTAGGTTAAAATAACATTAAAAATGAATCCATAATGTTAAAAAACCTTAGGATTGTCATAGGAATTGAATTAGAGATATTTAATGGCAAAACCGTAATTTCAGAGAAAATTTATTTTTTTTGCCTATGAACAGTAAAATTCAGGATTGTTGGGTTTAAAATCCAGATTTCAGCCCCTTTTCTTCCATTCTTTCATTCCACTCTCACTCAATATCTCTTAGAACCCTAGCAGAAGATAAAAAAGAAAGAGAAAAGGAAGAAAAAGTTTCATAAAACTTGGATTTTGCTTGAAAATCCTAAGAATTTGGTTTGAAATTCTTGATTCTTAGGTGGGGTTTTTCTCTCTTGCATTTACATTGTGCATCTCATGTATTTTCTTTAGTTAAAGCTTACTATGTGATTGATGACAAAATTCTTGTTATAAACCTTGATTTAGTGTTGAATATGTCATGAATTTGTGAACCTACATGCATAAAAATAATTTTAGTGTTGTGGGTTTCAAACCTTAGTTTGATTTTAGTTATGGGTATTTAATTAAACTTATGATTTGGAGTTTTAAAGTATGCTATGATTTTGTACATAATATAATGACTTATTCTCTTGGAAATGGTTATGTTGTTTTGAAACTATAAATTTTGAAATTTGAGTCTACTACTTGTTTGATATGTCAATGTTATGACATGTATTTTCAAAAGAATTTATGGATATAGAAAACAATAATTTTTAAAAAATGTATGCTCGATACTGACAGACAGAGGGTTAGTAGACGGTTGGGCCCTATTGAGTGAGTTGCCAAAGCGGCTACTAGTCCTAAGGGGGATTAGTTATGGTAATGGTTTTCGGTGATGGCTTATGTGGTGTCACAAGTTGTGCCCTACCTACACGTTCCCCTTGAAAAGAAAGAAGGGCGATGAGACCTTAGGGTATAAGACCCAAAAAGTTCCCCCAGGATGGTTCATGCATGAACCAATGTGATTGATTACATTGTCCATATGCGAGGCATGCATGATATTTGTTATGAAGGTTTGAATTTAAATATATAAACATTTAATTTATACTTTGTATATTTCTAATGATGAGGTGTTGAGAGATTTTTATAAATGTTTTACTTATTATCTTGTACTTGTATTTAATTATAGAAAACTTTCATTACTTATTCGTATGGTTTGTGAAATGTTGGTATTTAAAACTATGTAAATGCTTAGGAAAAGGATTATCCTATTGAGTTGTGGTTGCTCATTCATTATTAATATTTTCAGAGACTAGCATGCATCCTGAGGCATAGGCGATGAAATGCTTGTGGGAGCTTGAACTAAAAAGAATATCTTTTGGAGCCTTTTTGTATTTATCTTTAGAACTTATATAGAAATGTTAGTACTCAAACATTGTGTTTGAAAATGTTGTTTTGAGGCATTTTATGGTGTACACTTGATCATCCCACATAGGGATTATTATTTTGGGTATTGTAATATAAAGTTATGATTTTGTGTACTAAGTTGTGGTATGTATTGGTATTGGATGTATTTAGGTTTGGGAGAACTTCGTGGGCCTCTAATTGTCACCTTGAATTTAATTGGATTATATTTTTAATGGAGGCATGTTGTGAAAGTTTAGTTAGTTTAAATTATATTATGCTCTCACAGGGATGTTCTTACTAACTAGTTGGAAGCTCAATTTTTAAAGAAAACTCTATCAAAATTTTTGAAAATATATATATATATATGTTTTAATAAAAACCAAATATTTTATTTCATTCAATTATTATTGCAAACTGGCAAGAAAATTTGGGATAAATATCTCTTTTTATTAAATCACGCTTTAATGAAAATTAGAGCATGACACACTGAGCTCTTCCTACAGAATGTGAGTCTTGTGTTGTGGCTGGTGCATTCATTTTGTTCCTCCTCACAGCCAACTTACCTCTCTTATTTGAAATATTGGTTGCACCAGCTTCTGGACCAATCACTCCGTATGTGTTTGCTCCTGCAGCAGTCACTCCACTTGACATTACTCCTGCAATAGTCACTCCCATTGACACTGTTCCTGCACCTTCTTGGTTAGCTCTCTTTCTTCTTACATTAACAGTTACAGCACCAGCCCCTGCATTTGTTCCAATAGTTGCAGCAGCAGCCCCTGTACCAAACTCAACACTTGTCCCTACACCTGTCCCAAAACCTGTGTGGCTGGTTTTATCATAGCAACTCTACAACTTCTCTTATTATGTCCCCTCACACCAAATTTTCCACACCAAAAAGAATTATGGAACTTTCTCAGCTTATTTGGATTTGAATTGGCTCATTCCTCTGATTCCTTTCTTCTTAGTGTCTTTGGCTTCCCAGGTCGTTTATGGTAAAATGGAGGTAAATGAGGAGTCTCAGTGCATATAGGTCATAACTTCTACCCATTAATGGGATTAATATTGTTCCAATAAGCCTTCATATACGTCTCTTTGTGATACCACTTATGAACATACTTCTCAAGTTCATCTCCCTTGTATGCAGTAGCCTGAACGACATGAGAACAAGGAATGCCACTCAAATCCCATTTTCTGCATGCACATGTTTGGGCATCCAAGTCCACAACAAACTGATCACCATAACAATGTCTAACTTCAAATTTAGAACCCCTAAAATAATATGCTAGGCAAAAAGAGGCCTCTTTCATGTTTTTCTCTAGAATTTCTTGAATTTTGGGACATATTTCACCTTCCCACTTTGTCATTGCATTTATCTTCATATATAATCTCTTCATAAGGAGACCTCTAATTCTCTCCAACATTGATATGATTGGTTTGTTTCTAGCCCCAAGTATGTAAGCATTAAAGCACTCACACATATTGTTAAGTAATATGTCACATTTAGGATGTGTGCTAAAATGGGACCTTGACCAATTCCTTGGATGTTTATCATCAAACCATGCACATGCCTTTACATCTTCAGCCTTCATTATTTCCATATTCACTTTAAACAAGTTTACATAACTTGATCTTGCAACAACCCAAACTAAATCCTTAAGTGTTTTACCCTTGTGCTTTCTGGTTGAAATTGTTGTATAAATGTCTAACACAATGCCTATGTTCAACATTTGGAAGCAGTTCATAAATTGCACATTCTAGCCCCTATACACACAATATCATATACATTTTAGTTCAATGATATTATTTAATGTAGACTAGATAAAAAGAAAAGGAGAGATAACAATAGATGTACCTTGTGCTTATCAGACATTATAGTCCATCCAATTGTGTTTCTTACTTGAAGGTTTTGCACCAGAAGGTTCAAAAACCATGACCATGTGTTGTTCCTTCCATCTTTACCACACATCATGCTACTGGGAACATATTATTGTTGGCATCTAGTCCCACTGCTGAGAGAAGCTGGCCACCATGAGGACCTTTTAATTGGCAACCATCCAAACACAATATTGGTCTGCATGCCTTTTTGAAACCCTTCTTCAGTGTATCTACACAAATATACATTCTTTCAAATCTAGGCTCACCTTCCAACTCTGACAAATCATCCAATTTAATAGCTATTGTCCTGTTTGGATTAGTCCTTCGCAATTCCTCAACATACTCAAATAATTTGGAGTACTGCTCTGCATGGCTACCTTCAATCATTATCTTTGCCTTTCTTTTTGCCCTGTAAATTTGATGAGGTGTTATAGTAATTTGATGATCCTTCATTATCCTCTCTATGAAGGCATCCACTAGGCATGCAAAATTCCCTTTAATCTCATCCACATAAGTATTAGCAATCCAAGTTGAGTTTGCATTCTTGTTATGAAACGATCTTCCATATGTGTGTTTGTCATTGAATGTTTTAACCTAGAATGTTTTCCCATCTTCCAAGATAGATGCAAATAACAATCACTAACATTTCCCTTTACATACTGCCCTAACCCTAACATGGTCATTTTTCTTGAATATTATTTGTTTTCCCTCCTTAATTGCATATTCCCTTACCGCTGCCTTAAACTCAGTAGCTGTTCCAAACAACATTCCTAGCTTGAAAGATGGGTTTTTCATGTCAGTGGCAGCTCTAAACTCAAGGGACTTTGGCTTCCTCACATTGACACCATCATCCTATGAAGATGAATCATCAAAACTACATAATTCATCTGAATCTGCATAGTCAGAATGCACATCATCTTCATTTGTACCATGAAAAATTGAAGTACCATCCTTCACATCCTTATGCTTATCACCTACACCAGCCCATTCAACAACTTTATCCACGTTTGTCTCATATAATCTGTCATCCTCATCAAGATCATATTCACTATCATACAACTCAAAATAATCATAACTGTCACTATCCCTAATTGACTCCCTGTTTTTCTCCTAAGGCATGTCATTCTCTATTCCATTGACTCTCTGGTCCTCTTTTTCATTGACTCTCTATTCTTCTCCTCCATTGACTCTATGTTATTCTCCATTGAGTCTTTGTTCTTCTCCTCTATTGACTCCCTGTTCCTCTCCATTGACTCTCTGTTTTTCTCCTCCATTCACTCTCTGTTCTTCTCTTCCATTGACCCTCTGTTCTTCTTCTCCAGCATCACCACTTGCATTGACTTCAGAATACTCTAGCAAATTTTTTCTATTATAGTAATCTATCTTGAGGACTTCAGTAACCTGACTATATTCTACATCACCTTCATTAATCTCTTCAATTACAAACTAAATGTCTCTTTTCAACATAATCTTTTGCGAAGTCTTGGTCATCAATAACATCCTCTATTGTATCTTCAATTGTTCAATTTTCTATGTAAACGTCAAAAATAGTGTTGGCGTACAATGAATTGAAGACAGTGAAAACTTGTGTGTCGTAAAACAAACAAATTAAACCAGAATCCAAGTCCTTTCCTGGTATACAATAATGATACATCAGAATCTCCCGTTTGTATCCTAACTGCTTAGCCATTTCGTCAAGCTCCAACAATGAAATGTAATCTGGGTGCTTGTGGTGAAAGTATTTAACCTGACCCCCCTCATAAACCATTTTTGGGTTCTTTCAGAATTCACCATTATGGTGCAATATTAAAGTAAAATATTTGGAATCTTTCTCTGTAACATAAAACAAAAAAATGCAGGACCACATGTTACTGAGTTTTATATAAGTGCATAAAAGACCCGCTACACCAACATAAACATCAACATCAGTTTTATATTAATTCCTTTTTAGGGCCATGCATGCAACAACTTTTTGAAACACACTCAAATCCATAGTTATTTTCATGCAACTAGTTGCCATAACATGATTTTTTTGAAAAACAAAAATTGTAAAATGTCATCTTCAACCTAAATTGAAAACACTAAATGTTTACCGTAATCTTCAATAAAACAATCGTCCTCCAATTGATACTCATTGAACCTTCTGGTCATCGTTGTCAACCTTAAATTCTCTGAAGATGATGCATTTTAGCGCTACAAAACCCAATTTCCCCAGTTTCCCAATTTCATTTAGAACCTTAGACAAATGACAGATGGTTTCTTTTCCATCGTCTAAAGTGAAAATTTGATGTTTCAAATTGTGCATCGTACGTGACCTGAAGGTAGACGGGAAATAAAGGGAAAAGATAGTGATGCCCTTTCTGTCTTCTACATGTGTTGTGCACATGTTGTTTTTCGTTAGAGATTTGGACGGCAGTTAGGGAAAAGGTCAACTTTGGTTCAAAACCCAATTTTTGAAGACTAAATTGATTAAATTGAGACTTTAGGAACGAAAGTTTAATAAATTGTAAACTTCAGGGATTATTAGTGCAATTAGCCCATATGGATAATGGTACCAAAAAGATTAATGGTAGTTTACCCTTCTGCCCTTAAACTGTGTTATTGCACATCATTGCCTCCAATAGTTGGGCACGAAACCCAGGTTTGCTTTTCCTCTCTCTCGCCAACGCCTCCTCAATCCTCTCTCTTCGGCGACCGTCTACGCATCTCTGTTTCTTCTATATTTGGCGACTACTGACGGCGATTAGCAAGCAACCTCCGGTGACCAGACCAAGTCTGTCTTCCTCTATCTTTCACCCCTTCACTGCGTTCCTCTCTTTCCCCCTCTCTCTCTGCCCTTCACAGTGTTCCTCCTTTTCTCCTCTCCCTCTCTCTCCCCCCTCTCTGTCACAAGATTTAAGGGAAAAATTTGGGAAACCCAAAATTCTAATGGAAAGTGATTTTCTGCACCACGATTTTTTGGGGAAAGCTGGTTTCAGGTTTTTGCGCTTGATTGTAATGGCAACATAGTCGATTAAACTCCTGATTTATGTGTCCGTCATCACCTCTGCCTCTCTCTCTATCTCTCTCTGTGTTTATACATATTAATTTTTGATTGTGTGTACATTTGCACATGTGTGTGGCAGTCTGTGTACCATTATTTGATATTTCTTTGTTAATAACATTCCTTGATTTGGTTGATCAAAATGAAAAGTCTCCATGTCGAGTTGAAGTTACTTTTTATGTAATTTTGACGTGTAAAGATCAAGTTTGGAGATCAAGTTCATCTATGAGATGTTCTCTCTCTCCCACAATAAACACAAAAAACCAAATCTGTGGATTGATTTTATCTGAATATTAGCTAGAATTTCGTATTGTTGAGAATATTACAACAGGAACTTGAATTTATATGTTGAGATTTACCGGGAGAACTATTTATTTTTGTTGTTGATTGGTGTGATAAAATTTTGTTTATGTTAGTTTTTTTGTTTTTTGTTTTGGATTAGAGAAAAAAATATTGTTTGGTCAATGAGATAGGTGAGTTTGTAATTTTTTACGATGACAATTTGTATGTGTTGTGTATTTACTTATGATGCACAATTCATATAATTTTGTGATGAATTGTGTGTACCACAAAATTCAATAAAAAAATTTAAAAAGAATATTTTGGCTTTGTGTTGTTAAAAAACGCAATTTATGAAAAATCAGAATTTTGTTCAAAAAGAAGTACTTAATCGTCCTAATTAATTTTTGACACCATATCAATCCAAAGTTGGAATAGGATTGGATTAGATTTCTTTACAAAAGGTGCAATGGTCATTTTACCATTTTTCATCTACACATATGAATGGGGTCTACAAAACAAATGTTCTCTATCCAAAGATGGGATATGATGGAATAATATTCATTAAAAATGAATTAACCCAGACTACTTTGCATTGACTTGGATTAGTTTCGGATTCAAATCCAATCTAACCCGACCCTCCCATCATAATCCTAACACCCCCTTTTGTTTCCCCAAATCTGCCGAATCCTCTTATGAAATCCATTCCAATACACTTCATTTTCTCTGAGTAATTAACTCAATTGAGTTTGACTACTGGAGGCTTCTGGTAGTTCTGTAGGTGACTGGTCTGGTTTTTGATTCCTGGGAGTCTTCTGGTGGCCAGTAATGGCAGTGGCAGACCCATCACCATCTTTAGAGATTTTAGTTAGAGAACCAGTGGGTTTTGCCCTCTGGACCGGACCACCTTTCACCAATGCTCAACCCAATGTCAAGATTGATAGAGTCCTATGCACAAGTGCCAAGTACAGTGAAGACGGGTCTACACTCATGGCGATAAAATCTGATTCTGTAATTAGCATTTTCGATTGCAAAAGCTCCAAAGAGAGAAGAAATTTTGAAGCCCTAAACATTCTTGCGGCCATCTTGTCCCCTTGTGGTACTTATCTCCAGACCTTTCAGAAACCCTTGTCACCTCAGGAAAAGAATGTTACCTTATGGAAGACGGTGACAGGTGATGCTGTTTATCATCTATTCCAAAAGAACATGACAACAGCCACATGGTATGTTTGATAATCTGAATATATTTTCATTTCCAAAATTTGATCTTGAAGATTTGTTTCATTATTAATGTTGTTCGTCCTTCAGGCCCTCAGTACGATTTAGCTTTGACGAAGTTGTTGCATGTCGAATGGCAACAAATGAAATACAATTTTTTGATACTGGGGATTTCTCCAAAGGAATCATACATCGACTTAGAGTCCCTGGAGTAGCTGCAGTAGAGCTTTCTAAGACACCGGGCTCCTATGTGGCAGCATTTGTTCCTGAATCTAAGGTTTGTAGTCCTCAACTCTGAAGTGATTTTTTTTTAAATTAATGAGAAAAGGAAAAAATATTAAAATATGTGGCATACTCATCACAATGTTCCAGGTTATTTACTCTTTATGTTGGGCACTTTTAGTATAATAGCCATACCATTTTTTTGGATCAGTTAGTATTGCTGAGAATATCAATGCTTTAAATTCGGTTTTTGTTAAATGAGTACCCAAATTCTCTATGCAAGTTGTAATACAACTATACAACTAAAGGAAAAGTTATGAGATATGATGCATTTGAAATGAATTGAACTTTGGAATTATTCGGATGGATGCAAAATTATTAGATTCATAGGAATATCATTTGGTTAAGAGAATAAGAGATCCTAGATTGGTAATCTTATTGAATGTTGCACTATTCATTTTTTTGGGGTTTCACATTTCTAATAACTATTAGCTAGAGACATTTTGGGCGTGTTTGGATTGCATCTCAGAAAAAAGTATCCAAAAACATGTTTTTGAGAAGAGTTTTAAAAAAGTGTCTTGAAATTTTTGTATTGCAAAACTTGTTTAGTTATACGATTCTAAAAACAGTTCTAAAAAATAGAAAATAATAAAATCTGTTTGGATCAACTTTTTTATAAAAAAAAAAATTCAATATATTAAGCTTGATAAAATGCAAAAAAAAAAAAANTCCAAAGAGAGAAGAAATTTTGAAGCCCTAAACATTCTTGCGGCCATCTTGTCCCCTTGTGGTACTTATCTCCAGACCTTTCAGAAACCCTTGTCACCTCAGGAAAAGAATGTTACCTTATGGAAGACGGTGACAGGTGATGCTGTTTATCATCTATTCCAAAAGAACATGACAACAGCCACATGGTATGTTTGATAATCTGAATATATTTTCATTTCCAAAATTTGATCTTGAAGATTTGTTTCATTATTAATGTTGTTCGTCCTTCAGGCCCTCAGTACGATTTAGCTTTGACGAAGTTGTTGCATGTCGAATGGCAACAAATGAAATACAATTTTTTGATACTGGGGATTTCTCCAAAGGAATCATACATCGACTTAGAGTCCCTGGAGTAGCTGCAGTAGAGCTTTCTAAGACACCGGGCTCCTATGTGGCAGCATTTGTTCCTGAATCTAAGGTTTGTAGTCCTCAACTCTGAAGTGATTTTTTTTTAAATTAATGAGAAAAGGAAAAAATATTAAAATATGTGGCATACTCATCACAATGTTCCAGGTTATTTACTCTTTATGTTGGGCACTTTTAGTATAATAGCCATACCATTTTTTTGGATCAGTTAGTATTGCTGAGAATATCAATGCTTTAAATTCGGTTTTTGTTAAATGAGTACCCAAATTCTCTATGCAAGTTGTAATACAACTATACAACTAAAGGAAAAGTTATGAGATATGATGCATTTGAAATGAATTGAACTTTGGAATTATTCGGATGGATGCAAAATTATTAGATTCATAGGAATATCATTTGGTTAAGAGAATAAGAGATCCTAGATTGGTAATCTTATTGAATGTTGCACTATTCATTTTTTTGGGGTTTCACATTTCTAATAACTATTAGCTAGAGACATTTTGGGCGTGTTTGGATTGCATCTCAGAAAAAAGTATCCAAAAACATGTTTTTGAGAAGAGTTTTAAAAAAGTGTCTTGAAATTTTTGTATTGCAAAACTTGTTTAGTTATACGATTCTAAAAACAGTTCTAAAAAATAGAAAATAATAAAATCTGTTTGGATCAACTTTTTTATAAAAAAAAAAATTCAATATATTAAGCTTGATAAAATGCAAAAAAAAAAAAATACAAAAAAAAAGAAGAAAATCACAGATCTAAAGTAAGGAAGAAAAGAAGAAAATCACATCACGAAGAAACCAGGAAAGTCTTAGATATGAAGTAATCAAACCCATAATCGAAACCCATAAGCCATACGCCATAAGCCAGATCAAACCCATAAGCCACATCAAACCCAAAATCGCTGGAAGTAAAACTCAAAAATTCACAACAATCTAAACCTTGAAGTCAACCCATAATTGAAAAATCATAATCAAAGCCTTGCCATCAGTGTTTTGTAAAAAAAAAATCCATAATCAAAGCCTTGAATTTAACACAGATAGATCAGATCTGTAAAAAAATTAAAGTTTTGAGATGATGTCTTGAAGCCACTAAAGAAGATGACCTCCAATCTCCAGGGAAGATGACCTCCAATCGCCAGTGTATAAGCCTTGCAATCGTTGGGGTGTTTTTCGTCGTTTGGGTTGGAGCCGAAGTGGAGAGAGAGGAAGTCGGGGAGAGAGAAAGGCATAAAAATAAACCTTTTTATAGTAGGATATGTTTTGCTTCTAAGGAGGTTCGAAGCGGAGACCTCATTAATGAGCCAAACTTGTTCTCCGTGTTTTCCTTTTTCCCTTATTTTGTCTCCAAAACAAGTCTAACTTGTTTTTCATTTTTTGTTCTCAATTCCCAGTTTTTTTGAAAAATTATTTTTGAAAATTGTTGTCCAAATAGCATCTCAAAAAAATTGTGTTTTGAGAACAAAAAATTATTTTCAAAACACAAACCAAACACCTTTGTTTCTACTTATTCCCGTTTTCAAGGTTTGAATCGTTGATAGATGTGATAGTTTGGCAAACCCTTAAAGATGATTTCATTTGCCGTACGGTAGTAGTCATCTTAACTAGAATTCATATTTCGTCGGAATATTGTAGCTTTACAATCCATACTCGTAGCTTTATATAATTTTAGATCGAAATATTTGGAAACAAGGTAGAAACGGGAAAAAATTGAAAATTAATGATTCATTTTGGTGGAGAAGAAACAAAATTCTAATCCTTGGGCTCAATTGGTGTTGGGTAGAGGCACCCCATTCCCCTCCCCTCCCCTCCCCTATAAAACTTGTGAAACCCTATCTCCTCCTCTAGCCAGCCCCCAACAACCATTTTTGCGAAACCCGCCTTAGTTAAATCCCCTTCCCCCTCCAGACCCACCCCAGAGATGGAGACCCAAGAGAGAGAGGGAGAGTGATAGGGATCTGTCATTGTTTTGGTAATGCCAGTTGTGTTGGTGTTGGTGTTGGTATTGGTGGGTTCAGATTTGTGGCTGATAATTTGGGTGGTTGTAGGTTGGTTTTGTGGTGATAGGTTTAGGTGGTGGTGGGTGTTGTAGTGGCACGAGGGTGGTTTGAAATTGTTGATTGGGTAGCGTAATTGTAATGGTTGCAGTGTAATGATATGAGGAGTATTGGTCCAGGTGTAGTGGGAATCGGGTGATATTGTTATAAATTTCTTTCAATCATCAGCGATCTTCTAAAATTGAATGCATGTTTTGACTCTTTGAATCTTAATTTCACATTTTCATTAATGTTTTGACATATTGAAGTATTTTAATTTTTAATTTTGAGTTAGACATGTTTTATTAATAGAAAGTATCTAATAATGTTACTAGAAGGCAAGTGGGTTTGTATTTTCGTAAATTTCTGAACAATTCTAGGCGCGCTTTTATATTGCCAATGAAATTGGTTTCATGGCGGAGCTAGTTATTCACTACGACGGTGCTTAATATTCTTGGTCGGAATTAGAAAAAGTGAGCCATTAACATATGACCAACACATGACACATGCAAGTTGACATGCAGTAAAAAAATGGGTTGCATCCAAAGGTTCCCCAAACTAGACAATACTCATTAGTTGTGCTAAACTCGCAAAAGTCACATAGAGTTAGAACTTCAATAGTTGAATATTAGGGTTTAGTTGAATAAATATGCCTGAATGCATCAGTGGCTATCCGAGGTAGCTCTAGGTTAGAAGCAATGATATCGGAAGTGAACTGTGTATCCCTTGCAAATACATAGTGAAGTGCTAAGACTTGGTATATGTATCTCGTATGTGTGCATAAAACTCCCGAACCATCTCTACATTCGCATGTACCGGATCTGAGAATCGGCTACTTCAATGTTAACCCACGAAATTTTGAGGGATATAAGAGTTTAATATCCTAGTGAAGATCATCTAGCGCTATACCACAACTTGGTGAAATTTGTACTCATTCCAATAACTCTCTCTATAGGGTGCCTAAAATTTGCTCCTCTCGTTGCCAGGGGCAACCTTTGCTCTATTCTCTTCATAAGTTGGCATTCTTCAATATCCAATCAGTGAAATGTCAAGAATTATGTGGGTAAACCTGATTTGGAAGTCAAAACTCAACTAGGCTTTAGGAATGATCTATAGTGATTTTTGAGAGAGTGGGTAGGAAGTATGATGAGAGAGTTTTCAGTTTACTGGAGGTATGAAATGATTTTGGTTGAGGGGTCCCTAAGCTTTATCAATCTGAACTCCCCTGCTGTACTACGAACCTCAAATGGACCTCCTACACCGCACATTCAACCCCTCCAACATTTCCTAAACATGCAAGAATGTATGAAATCAAGAGAATTCGAATTTAAACACTTGTATGGATGAAATGTAGATTATATGCAATGCAATTTTCAAATTTCAAAACAAGTTGTCAATTCCGAAAATCACATTCAATCCATAAAATCCTAGACTCATCCTCTTTTCATCAACAAATGAATCACTCTAAAGCATATGAAATAATATACAACTTTGTATTTATGAACGTCGTCCGGTTTTCACAATAACTTACACGTGTTCAAATTTTGCTTAGCATTGATCAACCTATGTGTGAAGTATGTGAAACCAACTCCAACCGAATTCGAAATCCTTCTAGATTAAGATGTTAATGAAGCTTTTAGTAGATTCCTAATGCATCGTATAAAGTAGTGCGCTAATTTAATTTTTCTTTTTCTTTTTGATACTCCTCGTTTATTTCATCTTTCTACTCATTTGGTATGACCTTAATGAGCACAACTACAACCTCAAGAAATTAAAATTGTAGCTTTTTTTATTTTTGACTTTTAGGCTTCATTCACATTTAGCACAACTGTACTTCCAACAACCATGTTTCATTATTTTAGCCACACTCTATTCTGATGCCTCACTTTGTTCTTTACATATATTTCATTTTTTGGTGCAATTTTCCCAAACATTGGGCGGCTTTTGTAATTTGTTAGTTTTGACTTTTTTCACATGACCTTTTTGGACGTCTTTTCAAAGGATATGAGTTGTACTAACCTTTAGGCAAACGTTCATCTATCACTAAAGTCTTAGAAATTAGAATCATGTAAGGTCATTAAAATAAAAGCTAGTTATGCCTAAACCGTGCATGAGATTGTGTTAGTTTTTCAATGTAAAAAACCATTCAAGCACATGTAAGTGAAAGAAACATAGTACTAAGTACTCCATCCAGCCCAAGGATTTACAAGTACTAAGTACTAGATCCTCTAATATGCCTTATAATAACACGCAATATTATGTTTTGAGAATAAACATGAAAAAATCCAAATCAAGGGTGATAACCATGATTAACAACCCCAAAAAAAAATTGTCCTTTTTATTTTCTATTTTTCTTCTATTTTTTGAATATTTTAAAATAAAAAACAATGCTTGTCCTAATGGGTAAAAAAATAAAGAAAAATGCAATAGTAAGAAAATCATAAACTATCCGCAAACTAAACCCTAAAAATGAAATTTTTTTTGGGTTTTTGATATTTTCATTTCTTGAGTTTTTGCATAATATAAAAACGTAAGAAAATAAGCAATAAAAAATATGATCAATGCATGGTCCTAGACATGAGAGTAATACTTGAATGTGCAACCATGCCCTTACCTCACTTAAAACTTAGGTGCATTAACTATTTTGGTAGTCTCGAGTACTTCAAAATAGCTGAAGGGATGAGTCTCTCAGAGTCCTCACTCACCCAAATTTGTTTGACATTCTATATTTTCCAATTTCTATTGTAGATCATGGGTGGAGGACTAACTCTTTTTTCTCTGTGTGTATTCAAATCAACTTTTGGTCTTGGAACAGAGAGTTTCTTTAAAGGTCTAGCTTGTGAGCCCCTGATGGTGATGTAATGAAAGGCTTAGGCTCACCGGTCAATCCTACCATTTTGCTCAAATTATAAACTTGATCATTTAACGTCTTGGATTGATTAGCTAGATGAGTGAGTTTCTTGTTCAAGTTCTCCCTAGCATACATGCAATGTGTGCTATAATGACTGTACTCACAATTGAAACAAATCAATTTCCTAACAAT